CTCTGGCCTGTGGACTGAACATCGTGGTTCAGACATTTTAAAGTCAACAGAAGCAGCTGTAGAAAGTAAATAAACCTGCTGGACTGTGAGGCAGCTGCTCATTCTGATTGGTTCACCTGGAAGCAGTGAGAGGGCGGGGCTATACAGAGCTGCACCCCTATTGGTAATTAGATGTAAGGTAACACCTGGGTCAGATTAAGTAGGCTGGAAAGGCAGAAGTGAACACCTTCATGTCAACAGCTTTTATTTTACACCTCCAGGTTTATTTTAACAAATAAAGGCTCTGTTTTATGAAATGCATTGATCAGCTCATTCATCGATCAGTTTGTGTTCACAGTAAATGAATGTGAGCTGATCAATACATGACTTCACACCTGAACCCTGAGAGTTAAACGCCTGTCAGTCTGGTCTGTGGTCTATTAAAACATCTGTGTTCAACAACATCTGTCTAAAAACGATGTCAAGAGCATGTTTAGTCAGTAAAGATCTCAAAAATGTGCCGTCAATAAAGTATCAATAAAACAATCTCGATGCAGTGAGATCTGTCAGTAGGGTGTGTCGTCAGTGAAGGTGTCGCCAATAAAAAGGTGTCAGATCTGCCAATAACATATCTATAAACATGTCGTCGACAGGAGCTGCCGACTGTGTGCAAACAGAGAAACTTAACACTTACTTTGTCAGAAAATTAGGATTAAAGTTGCTTAAAAAGAATTTTCTGGTTAAAACTCGACTAAGTTGTCGTATTCTGGAGCAGGTCTTTGCCATTCAGGCTTTTTATTTGAACCTTATTGTGTTTCTGCAGCTCTTCATTCAGCCGAAGCGTCGACACAAAGACCAGAAGCAGCTCAAGTGTTGAATTTTATTGTTCATCTTCAGTTTAACATAAAAGGTTTTTGCCTTCGAGCCATTTCGTCCAGCAGCGACAGTAAACAGTGAAAATCATCTTACAGCCATCGACAGAACGCTGAAAACTTTTTGGCAAAAATCTGTTTTAAATTATGTGCTTCAAAGTTAAAAGGTTTTCAGGTTTACAGCAATAACTTAGGTTTTACAGTGTTATGTGTTTCCAAGGCGACAGAGCAGGAGGTTCTCAGCCGGCGGGCGAATATCTCCGGAATCGCGAAATCCCCAAAATTCACCAGGAAGTTCAAGAATCCACAAACTGTTCAGTCGGCAGACTTCCTCCAGACAAACACAGCAGAGAGCTTCTGAACAAACGTGTGGCCTGGAGCAGCAGATCCAGTCCGTCAGATGGTCTGCTGCTGCAGTCAGATCTGAGACCGACGCCGGTTTTAAACCAAACTGACATCTGAGACGTTCAGAATCCGTTTCTAGAGACGACGTTTGTTCAGAATCAAACTCCTTTCAACAAAACAGGAAAATCATCTTGGACGCTACAGCTAGCAGAAACATTACTGTCATCATCATCTTTATGTCACCATGGTAACTGTCATCATTAAGGGAGGGGGTGGGACCATGCAGGGACAGGCAGAGGGGCGGAGCTAAGCGCTACACATCGTTTTAGTGGTATAAAAACATAAAAAGTTCATTTTTAAAGTTTTCTCTCGCTGATTAAAGAAGCTTGACAGACAGGTAAGAGGAGCCAATCAAGGAAGAGGAGGGCGGCAAGGGGGCGGGGCTAGCACTTAAATACAGACTGACTTCCTGTACAGTTCAGTTCACAAACAACCACTTCCTGTTGTTTCTCCATATTTACACTTCCTCCATGGTGGCGACTGTTCAGCCATAGTGGCAATTTTGTGTGCAGATTCTTCTTCCTGTTTCAGACTGATGTCACAATGTACGAGCCGCGTTCGCCGCCGGCCCCGCCCCCACCGCTCCCCTCTCCACCTTTTGGCTCCCGTTTCTTGGTGACGGGGGTGGGTATGAGCGACGGGCGCGTGGGGGTTGTGGAAGATGACGTTGTGGTGGTTGCTGTGGTGGTAGCAGTGGTGACATCAGTGTTGCTCTTCCTGGGGCTGGGCGTGTAGTTGAAGGGGCTGACGCGAGCCGCCACGGCGCCGCTGCGCTGCTGCGAGCGCTGCTGCTGCTGCTGCTGCTGCTGCTGCTGCTGCGGTTGTTGTTGTCGTTCGGCAGGCGGCTTGTCGTCAAGGCTCTCACAGCTCCGCCGCAGGTTGAGGTTGGAGGAGGAGGAAGAGGAGGAAGAGGGGATCTTGGAGGGGGCGGGGCTGTCAATAATGGGTGGGGCATTAGCAGCAGTGGGCGAACGGGCGGAGCAGGCGGAGGAGGAGCGCGGGTTGTTGACAGGACAGTCCTCCAGACGAACCCACACGTCCTCTGATTTGTCGGCGAAGCCGCGGCCAGCCGCTGAGTCGCTGCTGCCACCCTTAGCCTTCCTCCAGGTTCCCTTTGACCTCACAGCGCTCTCTTCCTCGCTCCGCCCCTTCTCGCTGGACTCTGATGATGCCGAAAGCACTGATGATGAGCTTCCCGTCCTCTTCCAGGTGCCCACCCGTGGTAGCGATGTTGAGTGTTTGCCGCCGCTCCCTCCTCCTCCCCCGCCGCCGTTTTCTCGCTTCCAGGTACCGGTGCGGCTGAATCGAGATGATGTCACTTCCTGGGGACGTGACGGGCTCTCGGAGTGGGAGCGGTTGACATCGTGTCTCCTCGTTGTGGAAGGCAGCGGTGTATCAGGGCTGGACGGGGATTCCAACGCTGCTGCCGCCGCCGACTCCTCCAGCTTCCTCTTCAGCGTCGGACTTGGCGCCTCTTTGATGAAGGTCGACTGACGGACAAGTGCCGGCTTCTCAGGCTCCGCCTTCTGCTTCTTGGCAGCCGTGGAGCCGCCCACTCTGGACGCTGACTCGCTCCTCGGGATGCCGCCGCTCCTCGGCGTCCCGCTGGGTTTGGCGGGTCTGGAGGCCGACGATGACGATGCGCTTCCTGGAGACGCAGTGCGTGGCAGCTGTGACAGCTTTCCTCCTTTCTGGTTGGCCGTTGCAGTGGAGCGGGATGGCGTGGAGTCCCGAGAGGACCCACCTCTATCGGCGCTGTCGCTGCCTCCTGGAGCTTTGGCCATGGCTGCTGCCCGGGGTTTGCTCCGCCCCCTGGCTGCTGGCTCTGCCCTGGGCTTGCCTGTGATCAAACTTCGGTACACCTTCTTCCCGCCTCTCAACGCCTTCGCCTCCTCTTCCTCCTCCTCCTCCTTCTTCTTCTTGGCCTCCAGTGTGCTGCGCTCGCCAGGTTTCAGGATCCGGGCGCCTCGTTTCGCTTCCTTCTCCTCTGCCTCCTCCTCCTCTGCGTTGTGATTGGCTGTCGGCAGGTGGAAGGGCGAGCCGACGGACTTAAGGGACAGCACGGAGTCAGAGTCTGAGGATGGTTGGCGGGACAGTGACGAGGCGGCAGCGGCGTTTAGGCTGCTGACGATGGAGTTGGCGCCTTCCTGGATGGCTTTCCAATCAAAGGACTCCGAGTCTGGGGAGGCGGGGCTTCTCGGCGCCTCTGAAGGCTCCTCCTCAGCCAGAATGCTGTCGTCAGTTTTCAAAACAGGAAGTGGCGTGGCAATGGCAGCGGGGAGGGCGGCAGCTTTCTTCTTCTTCTTGGGCATGGCGGAGCTGATGCACTCCTGCAGCAGGTCATCCTCAGAGTCGATGCTGAGCGAGCTGAGGGACGAGTTCCTGGAGAAGCAGACAGGCGTGTCCTCCACGTGGAAGGCTTTGGGGGCATAGCCGCTGGCTGCAGGGGGGCGGGGCTTGGACTCCACCTGCGGAGGACAGAGGGAAGGTGTTACATTGACTCTGCTACCTGTATTCTGTGAGTAATGCACAGTAACAGTAATAATCAGCTCATCTTCACAGAGCAGGGAGAGAACACAGATCTGAAGTCAGAGGCCACGCCCACAGACTCAATGTTCACAGCGTCTAGATGTTCAGACTGATTCAGACGTTATCAATATTTGTTTTAATGACAGAAACTTCAACTAATGGCTATTTTCATTCCTGATCAATCTGCTGGTTATTGTCTCCATTACTTGATTCTGTTTCTTTGTAAAACTCGTCAGAAATGCCGTCAGAGCTGCTTGAAACGATTAACGAGACAGTTGGCAGATGTCTGTTAATTAACCGACTGATGACTAGTCTCTTTACAACCAACACCAAAACATGTTTTAGTACTTCAAATCTTAGGGACAATACGCCAGTAACAGTTAGTTTCCCCTCCTGTGCTTTGGACCCACCTCTGCAGGAGGAGGCGGAGACTTTGCTCCTGCTTTGCCTCCATCTTGCTGCTCCGGCGGCGGCGGCGGCGGCGCAAACTCCTTGTTGTTGTTCTCCTGGTCAATGTCACTCAGAGAACTCAGGGAAGAGTTTCTGGAGAAGCAGACGGGCGTGTCCTCGATGGCAAACTTCTGCTTCTCGTCCGTGGCTGTCTGATTTGTTGCAGGTTTGGTTCGAGGAAAAACAGCTGCCGTCTGCTGCTTCCTCTTCCTGCCTTCTTCTTCTTTTGCTTTCTTCTCCTCTTCATCCTTCTCACCACCATCGTCCTCGTCAAAGTCCAGCGAGCTCAGCGAGTCGTTCCGTGAGAAGCAGCACGGTGTTCCTTCAATAGGCGTGTAGTGACGCGGCGAGTCGAAGGCAAAGCCGGGTTTAGCTTTAGCTGCTGCTGTTGCAGTGAAGCCGTACGCCGCCCGCTGAGGCATCGGTTTCACCGGTGACGTTGGCTTCTTCTTCTGCTGCTGCGGGCCGAGAGGGGGTGGGGCAGGAGGAGGGAGAGGAGGGGGCAGAGGTGGAGCTTGCAGGTGGTCACTGTTAGCTGCTGCTCTGATCGGCTTCCTAGGTTTGGCTTTAGGCATGGCGGCGCTGATGCACTCGGCGAGGATGTCGTCGCCATTCTCGCCCTCAGGAAATCCGGCCCGCCTCCTTGGGGCGGAGGTGGGTGGGGCTACAGGTATAAGGGCTGCTGCTGCCTCCTCGTTGGGTGGAGAGTCAATAGTGAGGTCACTGAGCGAGGTGGCGGTGGAGAAGTTGAGCGGCGTTCCCTCCACACAGTAAACTCGCGGCACTTCCTCTGGCGGTGGCGGCACATCCTTCCTCTGCTGCGTCTGGGTGCGGCTTTGAGGGGGGAGGAGCTTGTAGACAGGAAGCTGACTCGGTTTCCTTGGCGCTGCTTGTTGCTGTTTCTTTGGTTTCCGTGATGACTTGGGCATGGCCATGTTGATGCACGCCTCCAAGATCTCAATGTCATCATCATCATCTGATTCATCCAGGATTGGTTTAGTCGGCTCCTCCTTCCTCTCCTCTGCCCCTCCGTCCTCCTCCTCCTTCTTCTTCTTCATCTCTGCCGCTATGTACGGCTCGTCCAGACTGAGCGCACTCAGACTGGAGGCTCGAGAGAAGCCGTGCGGCGTGCTCTCGGTAGCAAAGTGCAGCAAGACGTCAGCGCTGCTCTCCTCCTCGTCTTTCTTCTTGGCCTTTTCCTCCTCCTTGGTTTTCTGTGTGGGCGGTGGAAGTGGCGGTGTCTTGGCACGGCTTGGTGGCATCGTCTGACCCGGGCTGTCGGGCAAGTCGCTGGGACTGACCACGCCACTTGGCACGCCGCTGCAGGGCTCGCTGGAGCGAACGGAGCTGGCGATGGAAGAGGTGGAGAAGCTGTCGAGGGAGCTGACTGACGTGCAGCGGCTGAACATCAGTGGCGTCTCCTGGGCATATGGCTGCTCCGGCGGGCTTTTGGGAGTCCTGGCGCCCGATGATGACGTCAAGTGGTGGTGGTGATGGTGGTGGTGAGAGTGGCCGTGGTGGTGGTGGTGACCTCGGCGACCTCGTGTGGAGGGAGCAGCAGCAGTCTGACTCTCCGCCTCCTTCTGCTGCCGCTGCTGCTGCTGCTCGTGTGCGTCCTTCTCGCTGACAGGAAGCGTCGGGTAGTCGTTGCTGCCACCGCCGCTTCCACCCCTCCTCTTCCTCCCCATGACATCACTGTCCTCCTCCTCCTCTGAGGACAGCGAGGACAGCGAGCTGCCTCTGGAGAAGCAGATGGGTGTGTCCTCCACACAGTAGGTCTGTGTCGATTCCTGGTTGCTCTTTGGCACTGCTCGGCTGGCGGCGGGAGGTGGGGGGCGGAGCTTGTTGGCGGAGGAAGATGGGGGTTGGGGCAGGGAGGGGGTGGAGCTCTCTTCTTGTTTGAAAAGCGGTTTGCGGGCAGCGTCGCCTGCATACTTCAGGCTGTAGTCAATCGGCTGCTCAGCCGTCGAGTCACCGCCGTAGTTTGATGCTGCCGAGACAACGACGTAGCGTGGCGGTTGGACCGACGCCATTCGGCTGCTGCTAGTTGCTGATTCGCTGCCGTCATTCCGCCTCAGTCTGGTGTCCTGCTCGTTGTCGTCGTCGCTCTCTATACCGCCGCGGTGACTCGGGCTCTGCCTCCCTGAATTCAGCTGTTCGTCAGAGTACTTTAGGCTGTAGTTAATGGGCGTGTCCAGCTCCGCGCCATCATCATCCGCCATGTGGTTGGCGCTACGGATCTTATGAGCCAGGTCAGCCGGGTACTTCCTGTACACACAGCACTTGTTGGCCCCACTCTCATCTGATGAGTAGAACGGCTCTGATGACGGTTTGGTCTTTCCACGGTTGCCATAGCCATCTGCGCTCGTCACGCTGTTGAGGCTGTCGCTCGACGCCCGGACGCTGGGTGGAAACACTGGGCGAGCGTACGCTGCTTCCTCACTCGTCCTCTTCGATCCTTCTCCATTCTTTGGGCTCGACAGCACTGGCGTGTTGGTGTATGACCGGGTCGTGCTGCCTCCCCCTCCTCCGGTGCCATTACAGCCCCGGCCCTTCCTGTGTGCTGCTTTGGGGCTCAGGTTGTCGATGTTATCGAAGGTCTCTGATAGCTGCTGGGCATCCAGCTCCTCAAACAGGGCCTTCTGTTTGCGGGCGTGCAGTGACGGGGCGCCGGCGCCTGGCGACACAACATTTGTGTCTTTATAGCGTGCCGGGCGGTTGGCCATCAAGTTACGTAAGGCGGCGGCGCTGCCCATGGCGATCATCTTGTGCCGGGAGTGGATAAGGTTACGCAGCATGCCCACAGCGCCCAGTTCCCATAATGCCTCCTGGTCTTTGGCGTCACGGGCCGACAGGTTCCACAGCGTGCCACAGGCGTTGGATACGATAGTCAAACTGTGGGACTTGAGGTGCTGCAGCAGAGTCGGCAGGCAACCGTGCTCTCGAAGGATCTGCCTGCAAGATGACAAGTAGGGAGAAAATCAAGGCGAGTCCACAGTCTGTGTTTCTGTGCAGGCTGTTTATTTGTTTACATTGTTTACCTGTGCGCCTCGTTGGTGGCGATGAGGCTGGAAACGTTCCGGAGGATGCCTCCGCCGCTCTCAATGATGGCAAGTGTGTTGGTATGGCTGCGATGTGTTAGCGTTCCCACCAGAAACGCCAAAGCGCCATCCACCGCGCAGATGTCTGCCTTGTTTTCCGTACAGTGCGCCGACAGGTTCCAGAGCGCGCTCAGTACTGACTTTAGGGTCGACTCCTGAACGAAGAAAAGAAAAAAAAACTGGTAAAGACTAAAGAACAGATTCTGCACGTGCTAAATATAAATGTCACCGCCGGGAATTAGACTGACCACAAAACATAAAGCATAACAACGGCAACAGAAGAACAGTTGTCCTACCTTCTGCACCTCGAGAGCACAGCCCATCAGCGCCCGCACGCTGCCCACCTCACGCAGCGTCTTCTTGCTGTTGACATCAGCACGCCATGACAAGTTCCTCAGAACGCTGGCTATCACCTGCAAACACCACAGACACTGGCTATAACTGGAAAACATCATCAGTACAAACACTAACACTGGCTATCACCTGAAAACACAACCAACACTGTTGCCTGTTGCCACGGAGACAGCTGGACTTACCTGCTGCAGATCTTCACTCTCAGACTTCAGCTGAGCGACCATCGCTCTCATGCAGCCTTTCATGGAGCACAGCGTGGCCTGATGGGAAATTAAGAAGAGGATGCTGTGATTAGTGAGAGTTTTATATGTAAACTGAACAGCGTGGGCACTGGAGCAGTTTACTCAGAAACATTCAGACATCAAGAGGTAACTTCAGCTCACCTTATTGGCTACGTCTCCAAACGTGAGGTTGGTGAGCGCCATGCCGGCGTATCTCCGCAGAGTGACGCTGTAGTGATCGCTGCTCAGACCGAACATCTCACAGTCCACCTGCAGCAGCTCCGCCACCGCCTGCAAACCGCCTGCAGGGACAAACAACCCACAGAAAGCACGAGTGAAACCCAGCAGCCCAGTTGGTTCACCCTTTATCCAGTAACTGAGGAACCTGTGAACCAGTCACACACCAGTAAAACCAGTGTGGCCACAGTGGGTGGACTCACCGAGTTCGTTCATGGCGTGACGATGTTCCTCATCAAAGGAGAGCTTCATGAGCACGCAGACAGCCGGACAGATCTGGTGCTCCACCGGAGACGGCACTGAACACGTCACACAACACGTGTTAACACAAACACGACAACATGCTGCCGCTTCAAACTGAAACACAATCAGCTCTGAACTGTGTTTTGGTCGTGTGACAAGTCAGGCTTTCCTGCTCAGTGGTCAGTGCACACAGAGCTTCACCAATGTCTTAGACCTCCACCCAGGGTCAGGTTTAGGCCACAGCTGCTCTAAATGAACAGCACTAGTGATTACCTCATTTCCTATGTTTCTGTAACGGTTAACACACCGGCATGTAGAAGCTCTTTAACCAGAATGATGCTATTAATGCTAAAACATAGTTATTATTGTGATCCATTATTTTTTTAATTTACCGTTTTACAAAAATACTGTAAAAATAGTGAAGCACGTTATTTCCTGGTGCAGACATCAGATTATAGTTATATACTGTCATTCCTGAGCCCAGTGGCTCAGATTTGGGTAGAACAAGGTGAATTCAGTTTAAATTCCTCATTCCTGCTCAAAATGGTGAAACGTGGAGAGCTGAGTGTGACTTAAATGCTGGATGCTCTATAAACATATACATGTGTGTGAGACATCACTCACTGGGGTTGTCCTCCTGGTCGACGCCCCTCTCATGGTTCTCCTGCCAGCTCCAACAGGCCTCGCAGTAATGACGCACCTGCTCCAGCAGGTGGAGCACTCGGATCTCCCGCCGGCCCCTCTTGTCGTCGGGCTGACTGTGGACGATGTTGTGCAGTGCTGCCGACGCTCGCGCACGGGCCTCTTTGCTGCCGCGGGAGTTACCTAGGCAACCGCACAGATATGAACATCAATAAAAAGATGTTTGCAACAGTTTTCGCTAACTTACTGTTTTTAAACCTAACAGTTACCTAGCAACAGGGAGTCCTTGTCATTGCCGTGCAGCAGCTGGATAAGGAGCGGCAGGCAGCCGGACTGACGCATGGCGATGCACGAGTCCTGAGAACTCGACATGGCGAGCAGCGTCCGTGACATGTCGTCTTTATCGTGAGTCCCCAACATGGACAGAAGGCTGTACACCATCTCCACCTGCAGGGGGCAACAACGAGTTTAACTGCTGACAGCCTACACTGCCTCCACCTGCACAGGGGTAACACTTTGGGGAAGGGTCAGGGCAGTTTGTCAGCTGTTGCTGGGCAGAAGTACCTTGGTTCCAAGGTGGCTGGTGATTCGTCGAGGCATCGAATAACCGGTCTCACTGGCCGGCTCAGGGTCCAGTCGGCTGCTGGAGCTCTGCAAGAGAAAAGGAGGTTTTAATCAGGAGACAAGAGGAATAAAGAAACCTCAACCAGTGAGAGTGAAGGAAAGGATGCTCACCTGAGCTCCAGCCAATCCGCTGCTGTCACTCGCCCCCTGAGCTCCCTCAACCTGGAGAGAGAGAGAGAGAGAGAGAGAAACTGACTTGTTGCTCAGGTAACAACGACAGAACTCACTCGATTCAGGTCGACAGGTCAAAGTGTCAGTCAGGTGTTGCTGCTGCATGAAGGCAGCAGGTGAAGCCCTCACAGGTGAGCTCACCTGTAGTCGTGCCCCCAGTCTCAGGATGTCCTTCTCTATCTGCTGGATACGAGACACACGAGCCTGAAAACACAAAGCCGCAGTGTGAAGGTGTGATTGAGCATCCCTCAGGTCAGGACTTCCCATGATGCACTGAGCCCCTCAGGTGAGGCAGGTGCAGGTGTGCTCCGCCTACCTGAGCTCTCCTCTCCATCTCCTGACAGGAGCCCAGCTGCTCCTCCATCGCCGAACGGATCTGACGAGCCTCAAACTCCAGCTGACGCCGACTCATGTCCGTCTGCAGAGTGAACTGAAAAAAAGCTCCCGTTGAGCCTCAACAACTCCGACTCCCAGAGTGCATTTCACCAGCGAGCACAGGCTGTGATCCAGTCAGAATAAATGCACCACACTAACCACATTCTGCCTCAAGATCAGGGAAGGCATTTTGAACTACAGCTACAGCTGGCTCAGCTGAAAACAGACATGCTGTAAAGCTCACCAGCACCATCTGCTGCTGAAAGCGTGAACACAGGTCTGAGACCAGTGTTCTCCCTCCCTGTGTGCAGAGTAGAAACTATCACAAGCTAACACTAACTAGCAGGTTAAATAGCAGTTTAACTAGCAGCGTTAACTAGCAGCATTAACTAGTAGCGTTAACTAGCAGCGTTAACTAGCATTGCTAACTAGCAT